GTTGAAAAAAGATCAGATTCTTTTACATCTGTGGTCCCAGACAGCCTGCCAGATTTTTTGGTTTATAAAAAACTAGTTATCTATATATAATGTGATAAATCCAATACATTTTTTTAAAAACAGCTTATTACAGCTATCTTCCGGATGTCGATACCTTGATAATGATAGAATGTCTTACCATTTTACATAATTCAGAAATATAATAATTCAGAAATTCATAATTCAGAAATATTGTTATGGTAGAGATAAATGCAACAAATTATGGGCTGATCTGCATAATATTTTTAAGCCAATCGAAGCTTTACTTTATCAATTTGAGATTGTATTTGACTGCCAGTAGCAAAAACCAAACAGCCTTACAATTTGTAAATCAAAAAGTATATGAGGCAGGTCTCAATCAATTTAAAAGTTGATTTTGCCAAAGTTAAGGATATGCTTGGAAGAAATTACACGGAATCACAGAAACAGTCTGTGGTCTATGCGTTTCTCCAATGATGAGTTTGAGGGCTTCAATATTTAAAGGAGAAAAATGAGCTGGAAGGGAAAGAGGAGGGATATGGTCACATTACTGAACTCACATGTTGCAAAAGAAAAGGAGCAGGTAGGGAAATAGTTACGTATTTATCTTGCACTCAGTACATAAGATAAGAGTAACTACTTGTGGAGATATTTAACCTTTATCTGTAGCTATCTGCTTAGGAACAAAAGAAATGGCAGTTTCTTGCATGGCTCAGCTTTCAGCTTCATTGTTTTCCTTTTGGCATAGTGAATTGGGATCCCAAGTTTTTTTGGGTTTTTTTCTTTCACAAATTTTGAAGGGCTTAAGAGTTTATTTTCTTTCATTAAGAAACCAAGCTCAGAAGAAGGCATTTGCTCAGAAGTAGGCAGCTAATTCTATAGCTCAAGAATGTCAACAGCTCTCTAATTATCCTTGGCCTTTCCTTTATGGCTGGAAGTGGCTGCCACAGCTCCAGTTATTATATCCACATTCCAGAAAAGAAACAGGAATTTACAGGGAGAAAGGGTCAGTGCCTAAGGCAAGAAAGCGAAATTTCCCAGAAGACAAGGGCAGACTTCTGCTTCTATCTGATTAGCAAAAACTGTCCCATGCCCATCTCTACCTTCAAGAAAGTTATTTTTAGCTAGATATGTTGCTGTCCTGAACAAAATCTTGGTTCTGTTCATAAGGACAAAAACAGCAATTGATACAGGGTAGCAGCAAGCAGTGTGTGCCTTTCCATTTCTGGCTCAGTTTCTACCATCCTTACAAGGTAGTGAACACTATGTCAATCTTTCAAGATCTTCTTACAAATTAAGAAGTATCTGAATGTGTAACTGTTGAAGAGATTCACGGATAGAAGTATTTAAAAGTAGTCTTCAGTTTTTACAGGTTTAGAGACAATTTTATTTATTCAACCAAAGTGTAACTATACTCCAAAGGTCGTGCTAAGCAAACCCTCAGGACACTCATAAACCATGCTGCTGATTTATTAGCTTACAAGGAAGCTGTAGGTGGGTCTAGCAGAATGAAGAAGGCTGGACATTCAGAGGGGGCTCCTCCTGCTGGGTAAAGTACAGGCCAAGGCCAATGGGAAGGTTACCAAGAGACTTACATATGATTCATTCACTGGGTTAGGCTGAGTGATTCTCTACACAAGGGATATTTCTGATTACACAAGAAAAAGAAGGGAATGTAACCTGTATTGATCACTTATGCATCGGACCAGGTGTTTTCACCTTGCCTCCTTTTCAGGGTGCTCAGGATTGAATGTGTTATCAACCATTTTAAGAGAGGAATCTGACGCCCAGGAGGATTATCACTTGCCCAAAGTTCCCCAGATAACTGAGGTAAAGGTTCCATTTCAGCTCCTACTGATTTCAACCCACAGCTCTAGAGGCATCCTAGCTATTAAAGTGGAATGCAGACTGGGCGGCATGGCTCATGTCTGTAACCCCAGCACTTTGGGAAGCTGAGACAGATGGATCACCTGAGGTCAGGAGTTCGAGACCAGGCTGGCCAACATGGCAAAACCCTGTCTCTACTAAAAAAAAAAAAAAAAAAAAAAATGCAAAAATTAGCCAGGTATGATGGCGGGCACCTGTAATCCCAGCTACTTGGGAAGCTGAGGCTGGAAAATTGCTTGAACCCAGGAGGCAGAGGTTGCAGTGAGCCAAGATGGAATCATTGCACTCCAGCCTGGGCAACAAGAACAAAACTCTATCTTAAAAAAAAAAAAGTGGAATGCAGGTAGCCCTGATATGGCCTGTGTTCTCTCCGCTACCCTCTGCTGCCCCGACCATCCAGCTGCCTCTTTCCTCTTAGATATGGACTCATTCTGCTTGACATGATTTCTCTGGCCCCACTTCTGAGTTTCAGGTAGGTCCCAGCTTTTATTAACTCATGATTATTTAGATCAATAAGAATGCAATTTACTCAAGTAAGACTTTTTTCCAGTTATATTTTTGTTCTAAAGATAACATGTGGCCCTCTGAACAGCTTCACTATTTCAAGTTCTCAGTAACATGTTTACAGACCATCTAGGCAGATGGCCATCTTCTGACAGGAGTACTTTCAAGCCCTTACATTGATATGTGTTGTTTCTGTCTTAAAGGATGGCCGTTGATAGACCTGTCCCTCATCCTTGGAACGTCCTGACTGTTGTAAATACTGACCATGTTGTTGATGCTTTCAGAACAGCATTGAATTTTACCATTTAGTGCTAGATGTCTATGTGGAGAAATAATTTAGACATTTATTTCTCATGGATTCTTTAAAACTCATGGAGGCCAGACGTGGTGGCTCACGCCTATAATCTCGGCACTTTGGGAGGCCAAGGCAGGCAAATCACCTGAGGTCAGGAGTTCAAGATCAGCCCTGGCCAATATGGTGACACCCCATCTCTACTAAAAATACAAAAATTAGCGGGGCGTGGTGACAGGAGCCCATAAGTTTCTGCTGCTGAGGAGGCTGAGGCAGGAGAAGAATCACTTGGACCTGGGAGGCAGAGGTTGCAGTGAGCCGAGATCACGCCACTGTATTCCAGCCTGAATGACAGAGCAAGACTCCATCTCAACAACAAAAACGAACAAACAAACAAAAACTCATAATAATATTCATTTTAGAACTGGGGATCTGTGTTACTTGCAACTCTCCTGTGTTCATTGCAGTAATCTATTTCCCTGCTAGACTATAAACTCCGTGAGGGCAGGAACCTTTCTGCCTCATTACTGTTTATGTCCCATGTGTCTGAACATACAACAGACTAGCTTCTCATTACATAAACACTTATCACATGGATAAAAGGGAATCTCAAAATAGTGAAGCAACAGTTGAAAATTAACAATCGAGTCATAAATCTGCAGTTCTTTTCCATATAAAATGTGCCGTGGCTCTAAGACCTAATGGGGCTCCTTTTTTACTACCACAAAGACTTTCTGAATTAGTGGGAAAATACGATAATCATTGTCATCGCATTAACCCACAAGTTATTGGGAATACTTACAAAATAAAATTATAAACATTAAATCTCAAAACACTTTCTCACAAATTCCAAAACTTACAAATAAGAATAGACACAAAATGGAACCAAACAGATTCCCAACAAAAACACCTTATGTAGGAAGCTATGTGATAAAGGTAGCATTTCAAATCAGTAGATAAAAGAATAATGATTCAATATATGATGTTTAGATAATTAACTACAAAAGAATTATGCTATACAGAACAATAAATTCAAAATGGAATAAATATGTATGTATTCACTCCACCAAAGTATTAGAAAAACACATGGGAAAATATTTTTAATAATGTCTAGTAAAGGACAGATTTTACCCACTGCCAGGCACCATTTATTGCATGGGAAGACAAGAAGTACACACAGCAGCTAGTAAATATGTTGCATAAGCCCCCAAAAAGAGCTCCCTGAAAAGGGGCCAAATACATTCTCAAAAAAAGATTCTATCACAATTCACAATTCACAAAAATATATAAATATGCTAACATTGGCAGAGATCAGAGCCAAAAAAACATTCTTAATAAGGTTAATAAGCTGAATATATTAAAAAAAATAAAATTCTATACCACAAAAGACATTAGAGAATAACAAAAGATAAAAGAGTAGATAGAATGTCGACAACACATGGGACACATTGTCACTGTCATTGTGTATGGGTCAAAATCTGTACATCAAAAAGGAAAAGATACAATAGAAAAGCAGGCAAAGGACATAAGTAGGCAGGTGATTGTGAAAAACGCTTTAGTTCACTCAATTTTTAAATAAAATTTTTAATGAGATGCTTTGACAAATCAAAATTGATCATTCATTTGACTGGTGAGGCTGTGGGAAACCAGGCCCTCTCAGGCACTGCTGTACAACATTGCCAGAGAGCAATCTGTCCTGCATTTCGGTGAGCGATTGGCTTGTAAATTCAAGTTATAGGAAGTGAACCTACAGAAATACTTGCACCTAAGGGCAAGAGCGTTTGTAGTAGCACTGTAATACTGTTCAGCTGAAAGCTATTCAAGTGTCCATGAATAAGGGGTGATTAAATAAATTACAGTCCTTCCCTGCAATGGAATACTTCTATGTAGCTACTATTCCATAGAATGAGGTAGGTCAACACAGACTGACACTCAGAGATGTTCCATAATACGTCATCAAGTGACTTATATAACTACATGGAATGATCTCAATGTTTTAAAATAAAATGATACAGCATACATACACAGCTTAGAAGGATATGCATGTGTCTCTTTTTTTTTTTTTTTTTTTTTTGTGTGAGAGTTTCACTTTGTCACTCAGGCTGAAGCACAGTAGTGTGATCTCAGCACACTGCAACCTCTGTTTCCTGGGTTTAAGTGATTCTCCTGCCACAGCCTCCCAAGTAGCTGGGATCACAGGTACATACCACCATGCCTGGCTAATTTTTGTATTTTTAGTAGAGATGGGGTTTCACCATGTTGGCCAGGCTTGTCTTGAACTCCTGACCTCAGGTGATCTGCCTGCCTCAGCCTCCCAAAGTGCTGGAATTACAGGCATGAGCCACTGTGCCCGGCCACATGTGTCTGTCTTTACAGAGTGAAAATACAGGGCATTTCACGTTTAACCTTATGTGTTTTTTAAATTCTCTCCAAGCTTGTATTACATCTATAAGCAAAAAATATTTTCAATTTCTTAAAAATAATAATCATTTGAGAAAACTGCCCCATTTTTTATAAGAGCTATGTGTTTCCCACCCCTCCAGTGCACCAGAGGACTCTGCCCAGAGTCAAGAAGTCACGTAGGTCTGCGTTGCCCTGCAGTATGAGGTGACATCTCCTCTACTCACAGTCCTAACTCTTCTTAAATTAAACCCCACAACATGAGGATGAGTTCCCATTATGCAGTAGGATTTTACCTACTGCCAGGTACTATTTGCTGCATGGGAAGATAAGAACGTGCAAGGCAGCTCATTGATACATTATGTTAACCCCCAGAAGAAACTTCTTCAAATGGGAATCTCCAAAAGTGATCCTATCACAATTCACAATCCACATGGAAATATAAATATTCTAACATTGGACATTGAAATATTCACACTGGCCCTAACAAGATTCACGTGTCAGCTGCACACTGTCTTTACTGGCTGCTGAAAACGAAGGGGGCCAGTCCAACCAGCAAGTCCCTGCTATTCACATGAAGTGATGTGGTCAATTGACTCGAGAGCCCTGTGGCAATCCACTGGCTCCAGTGGCCCAGGAGTGACGGCACCTTCTTCATTCACCTCCAAGAAAGCACTGGTCTCTTTGGAAGAAGTTGATTTCCTCGTATGGCCGACTTCTATACAATCTGAGTTCTTTTTTCCATGTTTGTTCTTCAGTCTCCTCTTGTACGTCTGATATGCTAGATATTAAAACATGCAAGTATTAAACATCACTTTAACAAAGAGTCTAATTTGGTGACACTGTACAATTGCCAGTCCTTCAGGTGTTTGTTTGGGTGGCATCACGTATGTATAAACACCCAGGAAAAAGAAGGGGAGAAGAGAGAAAACTATGGAACAGAAGGATTTGCTGTATCAGAATGGCTCTTTTGTCTGGAATAGACTGTTTGTGATTGAGACTCACTCATCAGGTTGCTGACAGCTCACACACTCATACATTCATTCACTCATTCATTCATTCACTCACTCACTCACTCAGTCAGTCAGTCAATCAGCTGGCAAATCCCGGGAGAGCTTACTAAGAGTAGGACACTCTCCTGGGCTCTGGGCTGGAGCTGGGAATGAACCAGACAAGATGCTACCTTCAGTCTCTCCATGAAAAGGAATGAAAACTTGGATCTGAGACCAAGAGTTTGACTCTAACAGGATTTCTCTTATCTGTTGGTGAAATTAAGCCCCAGGTATTCCTTATATTGTTATATGGATTGTCGTATCTGTAATCAGTATATAATAATAACAATCAGCAATCAGTATATAATCAGTTATACCAGTCATCTTTGAGTCTTACTCAGACCCTGTTCCCCAACAACAGTAAAAATTTACCATGGCCCAAGATTAAAATATATGTGTGTATGTGAACACATATATATATATATTTTCTTTTTCAACTTTTATATTCAGGAGGTACATGTGCACGTTTGTTTCTTGGGTATATTACGTAATGCTGAGGTTTGGGAAGCAGATAATCTTATCACCCAGGTAGCTAGCACAGTACCCAACAGTTTGTTTTTCGACCTTTGCCCCTCCCTCCCTCTTCTAGTAGTCCCCAGTGTCTACTGTGGCCGTCTTTATGTCCTAAGCACCCAATGTTTAGCTCCCACTCCCACTTATAAGTGAGGTATTTGGTTTTCTGTTCTTGCGTTACATGTGTTTTTTAAATTTACCCTCTGTGAACCTACATAATAGTTGACTCCAAAGTAATGTATATTTGGCTGCACACATCTGTACATACACATATATTTTTTGATATTTGTATGTGTGTAATATTTTATATTTGAAAAATATTTCACAGCCATTCAGCACAAGTCTCAGTCACAGAAACACTGAAATAACTTGGCACTTGTGAGACCTCAAGGCTTTTAATGAGACAAAACAAATCAATGTTTAAGTGCAGCAAATGTCATTTTGGAGCTGATGATTGCTCATGGAGATCTTGTCTTAACAAGTTATGAAGTCTAAGTTCTGATAGTAGATTCACTTTTGTGAAGCATATTTGTTTATAATTATAAGCTCACTTTCAGATAGTTTTTACATTTTTCTGTAAAACTCCCACTTGTGCCAAACTGTCCTGTTCATGGGCCTTATCATCCCCAGAAATGTCAGACTTTTAAAAAAATGTATCTCAGGGGCAGCAAATGCAAGTTTGGATTGAAAAAACGTTGGTAAGTTGGGCTGAACAATTCTCCATCAGCTATTTCCTACCCAATGGGAGTTCACCCACCTGCAACGATAAGAAATCCATGTATCAGCTGGAAGAGTCCATAGGCCAGCGGGAAACTCAACATCTTGACCAAGTGCTCAGCAGTGAAAGATAACTGGAGCATGGTGATGCACATCTGAATATTCTGAGCTCCAGTTTCTAAGGAAATCGTCCTGCACCTACCGATAAGAAAATGCTTCAAGAGTAACGCACTAGCAATAAAAACAATTCTCACGTTTTCTCGTATGCATCATAACAATTAGAAGCTAAGACCTCGGGCCACTGAAAATGTGTACTCATTCCATAGTCATTTGCTGAGTGCCTACTCTGCAGGTGGTCTTCTGAGAGGCACGGTGGAGTCGGGCTTTGCAAACACTGCCCTAGGAATTGGAGTGGAAACACAAGCACACAGGAAAGGTTCGGCAACAACACGAGACAAAGTATGACCAAGGGCCACACAGATGAAGAAATTCAGAAAATGGCAGAAGGGGTGAGAGAAGGCGTCACAGAGGAGTAGGATTAAAGGGTGGAAAAAATAGAAGAGACTTTTTATGAAGGGGAAATATTATAGAAATTAAAGTTCCAGGGACAGGTGTGAGTGTGGCCTATTCAGCAGGCATTGCATATACTGCCAGCCAGTCTGCACAGAGGAGAGGATTGGAGGAGATGAGAACAGAAGGTTGAGTTAGATTTATGAGGCTGGGCGCAGTGGCTCATGCCTGTAACCCCAGCACTGAGAGGCAGAAGCGGAAAGATTGCTTGAGCCCAAGAATTCAAGACCAGCCTGAGCAACAGAGTAAGACGCTGTCTATAAAAAGAAAAATATATATATATTTTTTTTAAAGAGATGAACTAATATAAACTAAATAACACTTCAAATAAACACGGCCAGGCGCAGTGGATTTACGCCTGTAATCCAAGCACTTTGGGAGGCCAAGGTGGGTGGATCACCTGGAGGTAAGGCGTTCAAGACCAGCCTGCCCAACATGGTGAAATCCTGTCTCTACCAAAAATACAAAAATTAGCCAAGCTTGGTGGCACACGCTCCTGTAATCCCAACTACTTAGGAGGTTGAGGCACAAGAACTGCTTGAACCCAGGAAGCAGAGATTTCAGTGAGCCAAGATCATGCCATTACACTCCAGCGTGGGCAACAGAGGTCTCAATAAATAAATAAGCAAACAAACAAACAAACACAAAAACCCTAAATAAAGACCAAATATCTAAAATGGCTGTCTTTGGTGAAAGAGCTTAGTAATAATTTTTCTTTTTGCTTTCTATTTTCCTATATTTTATTGGTTTTTTTGACTGCATAAAATGAAATAAACCTCATTTGAAAAAGACAAAGGAGGGAAGAGAGGGAAGATGTGGGCAGGACCTTGAGAGCTGAGGTAAGCAGTTTCATGCCTCCAATTTATAAAGGGAGTCTGTAGGGTTTTATATGTGGAAGTGAGGAGATAAAAGAGGTGTTTCAGAAAACAAGCAAGCATCTATGTGCAAGCTGGACTGGAATGGGGAGGTAACAAGGGAGTGTAATGAGGGGGTGAAAACGCTGTCAATGGTACAAGGCGAGCTCTTTGTTCATACTTTATTTCTACATACGCTACTGCTTGCTACACTTGCCTCAAACCACCCTCACTTTTTTCAGACTTTTGTCAAAAACTCAGTATGATTAAGCTGGAACTCACACCTGCACCATTCATGAGCCAGATCTCAGTCCCGACCTTTGTCAGGCCATTGGGTATGAACAGGATGAGACTGTGGACTGCATCTTGCCAGAGAACACTTTCCGTCCAGATCCAATCACATTCTGACCACTTAACAGACTATGTTGCTAATTGTTGAATAGAAACAAACCCAGGTCCAAATCCCAATGCCACCATTCTCTAGTTCTATGAATCTGGTCAAGTCACTGAACTCCTCTGAAGGGTCTACTCAACAGTAGAACGAGGGTAGTGATAGGACCTACTTCTCAAGTTTGTAGTAAGAAGTAAATGAGATAGAAGAGGTAAAGCCTTACCCAGTCTTAGCACAACCCTAAATGTTGCCCAAGTGGACTGGAAGTAGCATAAAACCAATTTAAAAAGTCCCAACTTTGATCTTTCAAATTCAGCTACATAGTTTACGTTTCTTTAATAATTTTTTTCTGCTTTTAAAAGTAGTACATACTTATTGAAAAGTTTCAAAATATTCCAAGGAAATACTAAAGAACTAAAATTATCCTTAATCTCATACTCAAAATTAAACATTGTTACCATATCGTGTATTTCTTCCAATATTTTTTGATTCATGGAATTCTTTTTGCTTTCTTCTACAAAGTGGAAATCAAATACATGTCAGTTTCTATTCTTTTTTAATTTGAATTTATCTGTTGAGTATTTTCCAAAATCAATAAAATTGATACATCATAGCCATTATATGGATACACCAGGAATTAAATATATCTCTATTGTTACATATTTAAATTTTTTCTATTTTTTAGATCCATAAATAATACTGAATTATCTTAGTACATCAATATTCGTGTGCATATATGATAATGCTAGCTTCAGAACAGACTTTTTAAAATTAAAATTATTGAGTTAACTAATATAAATATTGATAAGGCAATTGATGTGACACTAAATTGCCTTCCAGAGAGTTAATACCAACATGTATTTCCTCCATCGCTGTAGGATAATGCTCAACTCATTGTGGGCATACCAAGACGTAATATCATTTTTAATGTTTCACAGTCTTTATAAACTATACGCCCTGATTCGGAATGATAATACATAAGACAAATACCTACAATTTCTCAAGTTTGTCTCTTTTCTTTTATTGCCTCTTATAATTATCAACTTTTTAAAAATTTGGCACCAACAATGCATAAGGATTTAATCTCTTGGAACTTGCTCATGCCCTAGAATGAGCCCTATATTTAGTGAAATAATCTCATTCCTTCTGTTTAATCATTAGAATAAGAAGAGAAATATATCCAGCTCTCAACAAGTTGTATTAACACCTCAATCTTCATTTCACAAATTACAACTTCCCATCAACTTGGCCTTTGCTTTAATTTACATAAAGAATTAACAGGACATTTTCCATGAATTGCCATAAATGACCCTCTTTTATGCTTAGTTATCCTGCTCCATTCCACTATGTCAGTAAAGCTTTTCATGTCTCCTGACACAGGCAGCAAAGCCTACCAGCAGCAGTGTGTTAAATTTGCCTTCTACAAAAGAAGTTTATGGATAGTTTAACTATACCTTTGCCAAGACTGGTGGGTAAAAAGTGCCAGCAGAAAACCCGTGATATGGCCGATCAAAGGAAAGATGAAACTGATGGTCAGAAGGGTGATGTCTGAATTCCAAGATCCTTTTGCCAGGACCACACCGGCAACTGTGACCACCAGAAGGAGGAGCCCACCAACAACGGCCCCAATCTGAAGCAAACAATAAAATAAATGTGTATAAACTCAGAGTTTTTTGCTCCATGATACAAAGTCCATCAAGGTTGTAAAATGCTTGAGATCCAGACATTTTAGAATAAAGAAGGGACTTGGAGATGATTGAATCCAATTTCATTTTGTATAGGGGAAATCTGAGTTCCAGAGTGGTCGAGTAACTTGGCTATGCTAGAAATTGGTGGAGTTTGAAACAAATCTAAGTCCTCTTTTAGCATATCTACTTTGCTTTTCAAGTAGAAGATTTTGCAAAAAGGATTGGGTAGTAGAGTCTTCTGTGGGTAGGACAAAAGTGTAAAATGAATGGGATCTGACAATAAGCTTCCAACACTCCTGCACACACCTCTACGGCCCTCTGCTGGTGACATCCAGTCTCACACCTGCCCCGCTGACCATCTGCCTCCCCTCCCAATGCCCCTTCAAACTCCAGCAGCTGCCTGCTGCTTTGACGCCTGCCTGTCTCCCCTCCAAATAAAATTTAACCATTCTTCACTGGACATTCTGAGCTAATACGATCACATAAGAAATGCTGATATGAGAGCGCTACCCTCTCCCAAACAGTCACTGTCTCTTACTTTTATTGTTTAACAACAAGGGAAACAAATAACAATAACAACAACAACAACAACAAAATCGAATAGTTTGAGTTTTAGATAAAATAGGAAGGAAGCATGGCCTAGGGTATTTTGTGAAAATCAGGATGTTGGCAAGCTCCTGTTCATATCATGTAGGTAGTAAACTGTGTACCTAGTTACAGTGTCAACCTTGATGTTAAATGATTCAGGATGTGAAGAAAGGTGGTCATAGGAAACTAAAGAAGTGAACAAACCAACAGAATGACCCAATAGACCATAAATGTGTTCTGGGGTCATTTTTACTGTTCAAATACAGAGACAGACTAGACCCCTGCCTAAGAGAAAGATGCTAAAACGTAAGAAAGCCTCTTGGCCAGGTGCAGTGGCTCACATCTGCAATCCCAGAGCTTTGGGAGGTCAAGGTGAGAAGATCACCTGAAGTCAGGAGTTCAAGACCATCCTGGCCAACATGGTGAAATCCTGTCTCTACTGAAAAAAATACAAAAATTAGGGCATGGCGGCACATGCCTGTAATCCCAGCTACTCAGGAGCCTGAGGCAGAAGAATTGCTTGAACTTGGGAGGCAAAGGTTGCAGTGAGCCAAGATCACACCATTGTACTGCAGCCTGGCCAACAGAGTGAGACTGTATTTCAAAAAAAAAATAAAAAGCCTCTGAATGTAACATCCCCTCTTCCTCTCTCTACCAAAGATTTCAAAGCTTAAAATCCACCAAGAGCAAATGAGGAACACTTAAATTTGCTCAGAAAATATGTCAGATCTAAAATTAAAATAGGGCTAAGAAAAGAGAACGAAGATATACTGAAGTAACAGTTACATTAGCCTAGTTTTTTTTTACTAAGTTGCTCTAGAATATTTATGCATATTATTAAATATTTTGCCATAAATCCTATGAAATACCCAAAAGAAAAGAGTTTTAAATCTGCTCTTTATAGAAAATAAAACTGACATATAAAAATGTATCTGGGCCCCCCTCTTTCTCCGCCATTGTGGTGTGTGCTTTACTGCACTTCTCGCTGTGTCTTCTCACAAGACTTTCAGGATTAAGCAATTCCTGGCCAAGAAACAAAAACAAAATCATCCAATTCCCCAGTGGATTTGGATGAAAACTGGTAATTAAACCAGGTGCAACACCAAAAGGAGACACTGGAGAAGAACCAAGCTGGGTCTATAAGGAAATACATATGAGATGGCACACATATTTATGCTGTCTGAAGGTCACAATCATGTTACCAAATCAAGTTAAAAATGACACCATCTGAAGAGATGGACTCATTTCCTCTCTGGGTCTGTTATGAACACCTTGGTTGGCTAGGTTCAGTAATAAATATGTAAGACCTTTCATTATCTGGTGGCTGAGTGCAGTGGCTCACACCTGTAATCCCAGCACTTTGGGAGGCTGAAGTGGTCGGATCACAAGCTCAGGAAATCTAGACCACCCTGGGTAACACGGTGAAACCCCGTTTCTACTAAAAATACAAAAAAATTAGCTGGGTGTGGTAGCACATACCTGTAGTCTCGGCTACACGGAAGGCTGAGGCAGAAGAATCACTTGAATCCGGGAGGCAGAGATTGCAGTGAGCCAAGATCACACCACTGCACCCCAGCCTG